GCGCCTGAAGCAGTCCAGGCAACACCATGGGACACGATCCAAGAGAAGCTCCGCAACCACTACGCACCAAAGCCGTCCAAGATTGCTGCCCGCCATGCGTTCTACCACCGGAACCAGGCAGAGGGGGAGTCAATCAACAACTACACCACCGCCCTGCGACAGGCTGCAATGCACTGTGAGTTCCGAGACTTAGACGATGCCCTGATGGATCGAATCGTCTGCGGGGTCCGGGACATCCATCTGCAACGGCGCCTCCTAGCCAAGCCAGACCTCACGCTACAGAAAGCCATTGAGGAGGCTGTGGCCTCAGAAGCTGCTGAACGCTCCACCCAGGAGATCCGCAAGTCCAGCAGCCCGCGTCTTGCTAGGGAGCCAGTTCCAGTGCATCATGAAGAGGCCAGCAGTGATGAGGCATCCTCCAGTGAAGACGATGACGTGCACCAGACAAAGCGGGAGCGCAGGAAGTTCCAACAGAAGTCCAAGGGCCAACCGGAATGTGCTGGCTGCGGAGGCAACCATTTCCGTGCCAAGTGTCGATTCAGAGACGCCATCTGTAGGAAGTGTTCCAGAAGGGGCCACATCGCTAAGGTCTGCCGATCGGCTCCGTCTGACACCCCCCCTTCATCGACTCGCAAGTCCAAGTCTTCACTCCAGTCTGCCAAGGAAAGTTGTTTCGCTCTCACCAACTGCCGCTGCCCGTCTGGAACCACGATTGGCCAAACCGACTCGCCTACGCGACGCAAGCTGAACGTCACGGTGCTCATTGAAGGAGCTCCATGTGACATGGAGATTGACACCGGGTCTGCCCTGTCCATCGTGTCATGGAGCACCATCAAAAGACTGGTACCCAGAGTGTCCAAAAGGCAACTCGACTCTCACCGCGTACACCTGAGAGACTACCAGGGAAACGACATTCCCGTGGTAGGCGTTGGCCGGTTCCGGATCGCTTTCAAGGATTTTTCGGGCCTGCTCCGGTTGGTGGTGGTCGAAGGTCAGCGGCCAAGCCTCCTAGGGCTAGACTGGTTTGATGCCCTCGGCCTGGAAGTCACCGGCATCAACTGCATCTCTAACGCAGAGACTGAGGGTCTGGTCAAAGACTTTGCCGAGGTTTTTGACGGCACCTTGGGCCAATATACAGGTACGCCCATCTCCTTTAGCCTTGATCCACAAGTCGCCCCCATCAAGCTAAAGCCACGCCGGGTTCCCTTTGCTCTCAAGGCTAAGGTGGATGAACAACTGGACAAACTGATCGCCCAAGGAGTTTTGGAGCCGGTTGACCACGCAAAGTGGGAAACCCCCATCGTCACGCCTGTCAAGCCAGATGGGTCGGTGAGAATCTGCGCTGACTACAAGTGCACGATCAACAAGGCACTTCAGCAGCACGCTTATCCGGTTCCTGTTGTCCAACACCTGCTGCATTCCCTGGGTGAGGGTAAGGTCTTCGCTAAGCTGGACCTTGCCCAAGCCTATCAACAACTGCCAGTCGATGATGCCACTGCTGAAGCCCAGACGATCGTCACCCACCGGGGGGCTTTCCGTTGCCGCCGGTTGCAGTTCGGGGTGAGTGTGGCTCCTGGCATCTTCCAAAGCCTTATGGAGCGTCTCCTGCAAGGGCTTCCGGGCGTGGTACCATATTTTGATGACGTCTTGGTGTCTGCAGACTCACACCAGCAGCTGTTCGAGCGCCTCCGTGCCGTGCTGACCAGGTTCCAGGAGGCCGGGCTCAAGGTAAAGAGGGAGAAGTGCCAGATCGCCGTTCCACAGGTAGAGTTCCTGGGCTATCTTATCGATGCCTCTGGTCTTCATCCAACCACATCCAAGATCCGCGCTATCCAGCAGGCCCCCACCCCAAAGAACAAAACGGAGTTGCAGGCATTCCTGGGGCTGCTGAACTTTTATAACATGTTCCTGCCCCACAAAGCCACAGTGGCTGAGCCTCTTCACCGACTCCTTAGCACTAAGACACCTTGGGCCTGGGGTCATCGGGAGACGGCGGCCTTCAACGCGGTCAAGGCTCTCCTTTCTTCAGATAGTGTGCTGGTACAGTACAGTGAATCCAGGCCGCTGGTCCTTGCCTGCGACGCCTCACCTTTTGGCATCGGTGCTGTCCTTAGTCACCGTTTTCCAGATGGAAGAGAAGCACCGCTCGCCTACTTTTCCAGGACACTATCTCCGACGGAACGGAATTACAGCCAGCTCGACAAGGAGGCATTGGCACTTGTGGCTGGAGTGAAGAGGTTCCATGAATACCTCTATGGCAGGACTTTTGACCTCATCACTGACCACAAGCCACTCCTGGGCCTCCTCGCCGGTGATCGTCCAACTCCACCGGTCCTCTCACCACGCATGCTGCGATGGACTGTTTTCCTGGCTGCCTACCACTACCGGCTCATCCATCGCCCGGGGAAATCGATGGGCCATGCCGACGCCCTCAGCCGTTGCCCTCTTCCAGCATTTGTGGAAGACCCGGCTCCAGCTTCATCGCTCCTTCTGATTGAGGATCTTCCGGCAGCGCCTGTATCGGCTGCCACTGTGGCCTCCGCATCTGCCCAGGATCGCACCATCAGCCGGGTGCTCAACTGGGTGTGGAGGGGGTGGCCACAAGGGCCTTTTGCATCGGAGTTCCAGCCCTTCGCAACCAGACAACATGAACTCTCAGCTCATCGTGGCTGCCTGCTGTGGGGAGACCGCGTCGTGATTCCCCAGGGACTCCGTCAGCGCGTCCTGGAGGCTCTGCACGTTGGCCACCCGGGAATTGTCAAAATGAAGGCGTTGGCTCGGTGTTACGTCTGGTGGCCTAATATGGACGATGCCATCACTGCCTGGGTGTCCGCTTGTCAAGCGTGCCAGGAGTCGAGGCCTGCACCACCGGCAGCTAAGGGACACACCTGGGAGACGCCAAAGACACCCTGGTCGAGGGTGCACATCGATCTGGCTGGCCCCTTTCACGGCCGGACCTTTATGGTAGTGGTGGACGCCTATTCCAAATGGCTGGAGGTCGCACTGATGCCCTCCACCACTACCGAAGCTGTCATCCGGGTGCTGCGAGGCCTGTTTGCAACGCATGGGTGTCCTGATGTCCTTGTCTCTGACAACGGACCGCAGTTCACGTCAGGCACGTTTGAGCGGTATCTTTTGGGACTGGGCATCCGCCATGCCCTAACGGCACCCTTTCATCCATCCAGCAACGGGCAAGCGGAAAGAATGGTGCGCTCGACAAAAGAGGCACTGGCGCGCCTGGGCCGGGGAGACTGGCATGAGCGGGTCGCCGAATACTTGTTCGTGCAACACATCACCCCTCATGCGGCCACAGGGAGGAGTCCTGCTGAACTGCTTATGGGCCGCCGCCTCAGGTCACCGCTCGACCGGCTACACCCAGACTTTGCCGTGGCTGAACCCCCAGGCTGTGCCAACGCACCACGGTCATTTGTCCCAGGAAACCAGGTCTTTGCCCGGAACTATGTGGGGGACATCCCTTGGGTGCCAGCCACAGTAGTGGGAGTCACTGGACCTCGCTCGTACCAGGTGGCACTCGAAGACGGACGCTTGTGGCGACGGCACATAGACCAGCTTAGGCGCAGGGTTGGGGACTTGGACACTACCGAGGTGCCCCCAACTGCGCTTGCGGCTCCAGAAGAGACACGTACAGATGGCGAGGCCCCACCTACACCTCCCTCGCAAACTGCCAGCGTGGAGCCGAACCAAGCCGTTTCAGAACAGACTCAGACCACTCCACTTGCGGAGGCTCCACCCACAGCAGCGGATCCAGGGGAGTTGGTTCCAACGCCACCTAGGGTCGCACCACAGCCTCAGCGAGAACTGTGTGGCCCTCCGGACTTGGCTACCAGTTCCCGGCGGTCTGGCAGAGTTTCCAAGCGCCCAACTTATTTAAAGGACTATGTTGTTGGACAGGTATCACTGTTGGTCTAAGTATGGGAAATGTAACCGATATGCTTTTGTGCTTAATGGAACCATTACGCGTAGTGCTGTATATAAGGAAACCATTACGATTGTAACTAACGCCTTATCTCGGTGGGGAGGGGTGTTATGTAGTGTAGTTTCACCCTGGGCCAACAGGGGGATACTGTATATAGTTTTCACTCAGGTCTGTAGATAGTTTTCACTCAGGTCCGCGGCAGTTATTTTAGGCGGGAACTCTGGGCTGTTGTGGTTACAATGTGACAGCCGGCTGCCTATAAATACAGGCCGGCTGAGCTGTCGCAGTCAGTTGTATTCCAGCTTACCATAATAAAGAGCTACTTGAAGAAATCGCTGTGCCGGCTGCTATGTCAACCCACGACTTAACATATAGTATATAAACAGCAGCATGTACCTCTCTCAGTACCCTGGTTAATGGGTCATACTTATAGATGCAATGTAATTTAACGTAAGAGGAGTTTTTGGTTTTGTAATTAAAGCCAAGCAAAAGTTATTTTTGCGTTTCTTCATTGTTTCCTGAATGTGTGGTCTCCCCAGCACGCTTTCCGCAGCGCAATTAATCTGCTAAATATGCATCACCTCCCAATAATTCTATTATTCTATTTTATGTTTTTAAATCTTTGTAAGTTGCGTAGAACTTTTTTTTTTTACATATCAGGCGACTAATGATGATATTCATAAATGATATTAAGAAATACTACCCACTAGGGGGGCAAACGTTTGGATATTTGATACACATTTGTTTTGTGATTCATTTTTTCCCCATTATGAAACAGCAGAGTTGAAAATGCTGGTTAAGGAATTTAATAATTCTCAAAGCTGGAGTCCCCCCCAGTGTATGAGAAAGGAGGCATGGCTATAAGAAGCTGGAATCCCATGTTGGAACATTTAAACACACTGAACTGAGCGGAACCTGCTTCCGTGGAGAGAATAGAAGTGACACTGCAAAAATCAGCGTGTGCTACTCTACACCTTTCATATCTCTGCGCTGCCCAGTACCTTTCCTGCAATCCCGCGCAGCCGCACTAGGAGGCTCCGAGCCCACAACCAACCCTGCCGCCTCTTGAAACTCCCGCGCAGGCGCAGTAGTCGTTTGCTACGCCCCGCCTCTCCAACAGCTGGGCAGGCTAGCAAGCCATGGGCTGTGAAGGTAAATAGAGTGTACATAATTATTATCCCACCCAAAGCTTCTGTATGGGGAGGGAGTCGGGATTTGGGCTGCCTGCTTTGTAAAAGTTGTGTGGAGAGAAGAAAGTGGGGAAGTTTCCACCTTGACCAAAAAAAAGAGGTTCCTGTACCTTTAAGAGTTTTTAAGACTGAAATGAGGCTGCATTTTAATGTTTTAATGTTATATTTTACTCTTGTTTTTTAAGCTGTATTTCAACCAATTTTATATTTGGTGTTAGCCGCCCTGAGCCTGATCTTGGCGGGGGAGGCGGGGTATAATTATTATAATTATAATTATAATATTATTAGGGTGGGAGGTGGACTGCTTGTCTTCCAAGAATGATAAAAGCTGCGCTTGCAAAAATTCTCCCCCTTTAACTCTATTTTGTACTTTTAAGATATTCTTGGGTGGGGGGAGTAGCTTTCCTTGCAAAAATGAGGAAAGCTGCACTTGCAAAAATTCTCCCCTTTTAATCCTCCTTTGACTGCTCCTGCCCCATAGGCATAGCTGTCAACGTTTCCCTTTTTTTAAGGGAAATTCCCTTATTCCGAATAGGATTCCTCGCAAGAAAACGGAAAAGTTGACAGCTATGCCCATAGGGTTGCGAACTTGAGGGACTGCTCTTCATGAAACTGCTCCTTTCACAGAAGCAATGAGCAGGTGGCTGTTTGCTTTCTTTCCCCCCAGGCCAAGTTATCTCAAGGCAGTATAGAATTTTTATTTTATTTTTCATTCAGGCCCATTTGATCCTCATAACAACCCTTCGAGGTAGGTGGGTGGCGCTGGCAGCTGGCCCAAGGTCACCCAGAGTGCTTCACGGCAGAGCAGGGAAGCGAAGCTGGTTCTTCCGGGGCTTAGTTCAACATCCTGAACATTGCACAACAATAGTTATTAGTTCCCATGCCAGGAAAAACCTTCAGGCGTTGACTTCTGCAGATCAAAACTCTTGGAGAAAGGCAGAGGAGCGGATTTATGCTGTGTTGTCCCCACCCAGAACCAACCAGTTGGAAACTCTGTGTATTCATATTGCATTACAAGTTGGTGTTTTTGCTTCAGATGAGCTACAGGCAGTGCTTTTTTTCCTTAAAAAAAAGTGTTTAGGGGTACTCTCATTTTCCTACTCATATTGAAATACTGCCCCTCAATGAGGCCAAACTTAGATTCACAAAATGTTTAGGGGTGTGCGTACCCCTGCGTCCTCCCAGGAAAAAAAAAGCACTGGCTACAGGTGTTCCTTAATATATCACATTGTTGATAATAATATATCCCGCAATACAGAACACTCTGCTCTACTACTTAAAAGAAAAAGTGGTCCAATTAAACAAAATAAATCCTAACGTTACCAAAATAAAAAATGCAGTTTTAATCATTTAAATTGCAGGTTTATATACCCTTTTCTTACTGATTTAACTACTCCAGAATAACTTCCACTCTCTTGTTCTCTCGTACTAAAATAGACAAGAACTATTTGCTCTGGAAAGGTTCTGGGGTGGGGTGGAAGGTGACCTTCATCTTTAGATAGCTTATTTCAAGCTCTGTTCTAGTTAGGAGCTTGGGAGAAAGAACCATTCAACCAACATTTGACAATTCTGTAAATATAACACCAGTTAAAACAGCAAAATGCAGTATCAAAGCTACTCGGTGCCTCACCTTAGTTGTAAAAAGCAAGGGCAGGTTTGTTTCTTAAGTAGTTTTGCAATGCTTCAGTGAAATGATCCATTTTAGGGCTTGGGCTGAGTCTCTGGGCACGGGGAGTGAGCTAGGCTGCCACCAGCTGTTTTAGGTTAAGTGGGAGCAGATTGTTAACTCCATGGAGCCCAATGGAAATTATGACGAAATAGACATTTATAGGATTGTAAGTGAGTGGACTGTAAAGCCCCTGCTTTTCAATTAGTGCATTAGGTGTCATCAAAATAAGTAGGCAGGTAGAAAAATGGGGTGTATAAGGTGTTAGGGGAGAGGGTAGTACCTCGGTTGGAGGGACACATCATGCTCCTTCTGGGTTGGTTTATCCACCTTTGGTCCCCATCCTGCACTCAGCTCTCACCTGTGGCTCCAAAAAGTTGTCAGCATTCGACAGTGGCCACAGCCCAGGAACGGCTTCAACTGGCCTGCTAAACCAGGCGAGGGGAGCTGAGGGGTCTCAAACCCTCTGTGAATTAGGAACTTCCCCTGCATGCGAAGACAGGCTCAGGAGGATTGAGTGAACAAGACCAAAAGTGGGTCCAACGGTCCAGAAAGCAGTTCTGCCTGTGCTGTAGAGGGAAGTGAGGGGCAGATGGGGCTCGTGTACCTGGGAAGGTAGCCCATCTAGTTGAAGGAAAACTGATCCTAGACCTCCACTGCCTTCTGGGATATCTTCAGGACAGGAGAAGACTAAGGAGTAAACCCTACGCAAATCCAGAGCAGGGTACCTAAGACAGTTGGACGGCGCCTTGTATGCCTCTTTCCTGCAACTCCTGCAGCCAAGCTGGTGCCAAACATCTTGCTCTGCTTTCCTGTAGACCACATCAGCGAGGCTGAGAAGGGGGTCTTGTCGTCTGGGCATCCCAGGACCTCCACACACACTGCCTAGGCTTGCGCCCCAAGGAGGTCACGTAAAGGTAAAGGGACCCCTGACTATTAGGTCCAGTCATGGCTGACTCTGGGGTTGCGGCGCTCATCTCGCTCTATAGGCCAAGGGAGCCGGCGTACAGCTTCCGGGTCATGTGGCCAGCATGACTAAGCCGCTTCTGGCGAACCAGAGCAGCGCACGGAAACGCCGTTTATCTTCCTGCCGGAGCAGTACCTATTTATCTACTTGCACTTTGATGTGCTTTTGAACTGCTAGGATGGCAGGAGCAGGGACCGAGCAACAGGAGCTCGCCCCGTCATGGGGATTTGAACCACGACCTTCTGATCAACAAGTCCTAGACTCTGTGGTTTAACAAGTCCTAGGCTTTGTGGTTTAACCCACAGCGCCACCTGCGTCCCATTAAGAAGGTCACTTAGGTGCTGTTAATGCAGCATTTGACTTCACCCCCAGAGGCAGCACTCCATTGTCTCTCCAGACAAACGGATGCCAACCGCAAAGCAGGGCCCATCCTTCAAAACAGGGATGGAGAGTCTCTGCGGCTGCCCAGATGTTATTCAGCTCCAACTCCCATCAGTACCACGCAGCACAACCAGTGGTCAGGGATGGTGGCAGTTGTAATCCACAGCTGCAGGATCCACATCCCTGCTTCAAAACGTGAGAACAGGATCCCAGACTAGATTGGCCTTTGGTCCGATCCATCTTACATCAATATGTTAACTGTTTCAGAGTATTTCGATATTTCCATATATCTAAATTAATGGTTCTTATTAGCCTGAGTAGCACTGAGTTAAAAACAAAAGAGGAATGTAAATGGGTAAAATTGATGGTAATTGCTGCCAGACAGGTTATAGCGAGTAATTGGAAAAATGCAGAAGAGCTAGGGGTGAACCAATGGAGGAAAAAATTGAATAATTGAATAATATTATAATTTTAGAATATCTAACTGTGAAGATACACAGAATGAAAGGGTTTAAGGTCAGTGAGAAAGAGGAGGATTAGAGAAGATATTGAATTATTTGGGTAGGTTTGAACAATTTGGGGCAGTTAAAATGTTAAAAGTTAAATAAACCTTGTGGAGCGAGGAGCGTTAATGTATAGAGAATTGTACATATGATTGATTTGAATATGTTATTATTGATTATGTATCAGCTGCCGGGGGGGTTTCAATGTTTGGGTTTTGGTTGTTGGTAAAAAATAAAGAAAAGAAAAACCGTTTCAGAGTATAATAATGGTGGTTGCATTACGGCCTGCACAATATATTTTACAAGCTCAAGGAAGACACCCATTGCATCTGGCTGCTGCGCTGTTACTAGGGGCTTGCGGAAGTGTAAGGGCTGTGGAGTGAGTGGGTTTCTGCAGTTGGCTAGGTAAAGGGACCCCTGACCATTAGGTCCAGTCATGACTGACTCTGGGGTTGGGGCGCTCATCTCGCTTTATTGGCCGAGGGAGCCGGCATACAGCTTCCGGGTCATGTGGCCAGCATGACTAAGCTTCTTCTGGCGAACCAGAGCAGCACACGGAAACACCGTTTACCTTCCCGCCGGAGCGGTACCTATTTATCTACTTGCACTTTGACGTGCTTTCAAACTGCTAGGTTGGCAGGAGCAGGGACTGAGCAACAGGAGCTCACCCCATCACGGGGATTCGAACTGCCGACCTTCTGATCGGAAAGTCCTAGGCTCTGTGGTTTAACCCACAGCGCCACCCGCATCCCTCTGCAGTTGGCTAGATGGCCCCTAAAACTGAAGGAAATCAATCAAATCCTCAAGGAGTCATGCCAAGCAGTTTGCCAGCATCCAAAGCACCAGTCACTGTTACTAAGTCAGGCTTCATTATGCAGCTAATCTCCGAATGATTGTTCTTCAGGTAGATGCCAGCGCGCATGAGTTAAGTGCGTGAACTGAACATGACCAACCCGCTAAGATACGAAGTGCTGAACCTTTACAAAAATGTAAGTCCTGAGGAGCGGAAGCTAGGTGCAAACAAAACGCTTTGCCCGTGTTCTGCGCCCTGTGTGACTCTCAACTTTTTTGTTTTTTTGCATTGTGTGCTTTGAAGCTGCTGTACCTTGGAAAGGAATACCCCAAAGGGGCGGACTACTTTCGGACCCGGCTGAAGGCGGCGTTCTTGAAAAACAAGGACGTGAAGGAGCCTGAGAAAATCAAAGAACTCCTTGCCCGAGGGGAGTTTGTCATGAAAGAGCTGGAGGCGTTATACTTCCTCAGGAAATACCGAGCTCTGAAACAGCGTTACTACGAAGAGGATGGCAAATGATGTGCATTGCGGTTCGAAACGCTTGCCCAGGCCATAGGTTAAAGTGGGGGGTAACCGATCTACAATTAAAAAAAAGTATAGATTGCCTATTGAACGAAGGTAATGTGTTTTTTTGTTTTAAGTTGAAGTTCAGCAATGCTTGCTGTGGTTCTCTTTTCACAGCTGGCTGTGGGGGAGGAATGCAAATCCACATTTGCGGCCGCCGAGACCATATAACACTGGTCTTGAAAGACCTACACTGGCTCCCAGTACGTTTCCGAGAACAATTCAAAGTGTTGGTGTTGACCTTTAAAGCCCTAAATGGCCTCGGCCCTGTATACCTGAAGGAGCGTCTCCACTCCATCGTTCTGCCTGGACACTGAGGTCCAGCATCGAGGGCCTTCTGGCGGTTCCTTCATTGTGTGAAGCCAAGTAACAGGGAACCAGGCAGAGGGCCTTCTCGGTGGTGGCGCCCGCCCTGTGGAACGCCCTCCCACCAGATGTCAAAGAGAAAAATAACTACCAGACTCTTAGAAGACAGCCCTGTTTAGGGAAGCTTTTAATGTTTAATAGGTTATTGTATTTTAGTGTTTTATTGGAAGCCGCCCAGAGTGGCTGGGGAAACCCAGCCAGATGGGCGGGGTATAAATAATAATAATAATTATTATTATTTTCAGGGAAGTCTTCGCACATGCAACCCCCAGCCGCACACAGATGTTTCTGCTGTGTGTTCAGATGTCAGGGGGCAAGCAAGTGGAACCAGAGGCAGGGGGCTGTTTGGTGTGCCTTTGCTCCCGTGTTGAGGATGCGACCAAAGAGCACCCAAAAAGAGCTTTGCTGTACATAACTACACATGTCCATCGTTTAAGCCTTTTTCCTAGAGTTATGCATTTAAAAAGGGAGGTGGGGAGACTTTCCCTCTATGTTAGTGACACTTCATTTCACCTGGAATAGCAGAGTTAGTAGAGCACGGGACGCTTAATCTCAGAGCCGTGGGTTCGAACCCAACGTTGGGCAAAAAGATTCCTGAATTTCAGGGGGTTGGACTAGATGACCCTGAAGGTCCCTTCCAACGCTACAGTTCTACGATTCGAATTTCTACAACCACTGCTCTTGCATGTTCAGCTGGACATACAGCTATGCTGACGGACCCTTGCGCCTCTCCCCTCCCCCCAAAGAACTGAAAAGGTCTGCTACCAGGTGGGCAAGAATGAGAGAATAGCCTGTTCAGTGGGGAGAGCAAGAGTGGCTGGGATTTAGTTACCCAACACAGTCTTGTGCACGCCTACTCAGAAGCCAGTACAGTTGAAATCAGGTATGCATAAGGAGCTTGGGAAGAGGGTGGGAACAGGTACGGCTGGCTGTGTGTTATGTTAGAGAGAATCCCGTATCCTGGGCAAAGCAAAACTGGATTTTACACCTAGTCCTGTTTGCCTGTGTTTTCAACTTTTAAGCTCACAAAGAGGAAGTACGGCCTTTTAAATGCCAAAGGTGCAGAACCTACACCCTTCCAGGTGAACCACAATTCCCATCAGCCCTGAACACAGCCCACGTTGGCTCAGGCTGGAGTCAGGCAACAGGTTGTCGACCACTTCTGTAAACAGCTACTATAGGGTATGATCTAAAGGGCCGCCTCTTTCCATATGAACCTATCCGGACCCTGAGATCATCATCTGAGGCCCTTTGTCGTGTGCCTCCTCCTCAAGAGGTCCAGAGGGTGGCAACACGAGAACGGGGCCTTCCCTGCAGTGGCTCCCCGTCTGTGGAATGCTCTCCCTAAGGGAGGCTTGCCTGGTGCCTTCAATATTCACCTTTAGGTGCCAGACGAAAATGTTCCTTTTTAACCAGGCCATGAGCTGATTAACAGTCTTACATCCTTTTAAATGTTTGCAGGAGTGGGGGGTTCTTGTGTTGTTTTGCTTTTGGTCTTGTTTTTCACTTTGTGGTTTTGCTGTGAACCGCCCTGAGGACTTTGGACAGAAGGTGATCAAACAAATTTAATAAATAATAATGGCACATGAGGTCACCACCCGCTGAAGCGAAGCAAGTCTGGGTTTGGGAAGTGTCTGGGTGTGTAAGCCACATGCCTTCCGTTCTATGATGGAAGAGGATCAGGACATGAATAAATTCTGCTTTTGAGAGGAAAAAACAAACTGTAGAAACACAGAATTTATTATTTATTAATTACAACAGGAGCAGTGTTGTTTTGTGACAAACTTGACAGATTTCATATCGCTTCACAGCACATGCTGCTGATAAAAACATCTGCAAGGGTTTAAATGAACAGTGGTCATTCTTCAGGTGTGACTTAATGTTTTGAGGTCACAGGATTGAAATAAAGACGGGGGGTCTCCCCGCCCCCCAAAAAATGTCCATCACCTGGGTCACATTGCATATATTTTGCCTCAAATGAAAACAAAAAGCACAATGTACAAAACATGTATTTTTCTTATTTTTTTTTAGTTTATACTATACAAAAATAGTTAAAATACATTTTAGGTAAACACATTGCATTTTAAGAAATAGTTCCTAGTAGGAGATTTGGCACAAGAGAGAGAGAGAGAGAGAGAGAGAGAGAGACGAAGGGTGGGAAGGAGGCTTATTTTCAACATAAAAACACGACAGTGGAATTAAATTAAATTGTTAGGCAGGTTTGGGAAAACTGTACAACCTAAAGGGCACAGCCCACCAAGTTACTGCTGTTCATTGATTCTGACATCATCTTCCAAAAGACAAAACAAAACGCTACTCTTGGCACCTCAACGCTTTTGTGAAATTCCCCCCTGTGTATATTCTATATGTACACATTTGATCTTAGCCAAAAGGCAGAGATGGCTCATTTCAACAAATCAATCCAATTTGAATTTTCCTCCTCTTTTTTTTTACATTTTCACTTTTAATAGAAAAAATAGTTAGATTTTTAAGCGTGACCCACGGCAAACAGCCTTGGGGAAATGAGGTTGGGAGGGGTGGGGGAAAGAAACTTGCTTCTGTGAAAAGCCCGCAATCCTTACATTCATTCAAGTTGATTGGAAACGCTACAATAAACGGTGGCCCAAAGCAGAAATTATACATAAGGAAGGCTAAGGAGGTGTTATCAATATTGCAGTCAGCAGAACCTTTTTGGAAAAAAGTGTGTTGGAAAACCAGGATCACTTGCGCCGATCAGTCCTTTTATCACAAACACAGCGGAAAATAAGTTGGAGATCTCCCCGCCCTGGTTGCCTTATATACCACAGGGACAGGGAAGCTGTCGCCATCCAGACATTGTATTCCCAACAACTCCCATCATCCTTGACCACTGGCCATTTTCGCCAGGACTGATGGGCATTTGAGTCCAGCAACACCTGGGAGGCTGCAGGTTAACCACCTTGGTTTTCTAACAAAGACCCAGGAACCAGCTTCAGGCAAGGTGCTGTCCTAGGCTTGATGCCCATCACCTATACCCCAGCAACCGCAAGAGTCAGATGATGCTGGACTACAACTCCCATCATGCTGGCTGGAACTGGTCAGGGATGATGGGTTTCGGAGTCCAACAACATCTGAAGGGTACAATGTTGGCTACTCCTGGGGCTGTGGCCAACTCAGCCAGCTCTAGCATCCCACATCTGAAAGGGGCGTTCTTCTCCTACCACTATTCCCACAAGAACCATCTCTCCCTAAATGTTGAGTCCTGAGGAGCTCTTGATCCTTGCACCCCTAACACAGTACATTGGTCCATGCATAGGTGGAAGGTTTCCCATCTCCCCTCTTGTGACAACTTGAGGTCCATTTTCCTTGCCTGCAGCAGGCCTCCCATAGTCATAAAAACCAGATTGCTTCTGCTCAACTCTCTGTATAGTGCAGAGCCCCTGATCCCACCATGTCATGGTCCTCGCCTGCTCAGGAACGCCCTGTTCCTGGAAATCACCAGGGTCTAAAGTGCTGCATTTCAACAGGAACTCAAAACTTTACACAGGGCCTCTGTGGCTCAACTGCTGCTATTGGCCCTCTCAGCCCTCACCATGCCCTAGATACCATATTTTTGCTCTATAAGACTCACTTTTTCCCTCCTAAAAAGTAAGGGGAAATGTGTGTGCGTCTTATGGAGCGAATGAAGGCTGCGCAGCTATCCCAGAAGCCAGAACAGCAAGAGGGATTGCTGCTTTCACTGTGCAGCGATCCCTCTTGCTGTTCTGGCTTCTGAGATTCAGAATATTTTTTTTCTTGTTTTCCTCCTCCAAAAACTAGGTGTGTCTTAGAGCGAAAAATACGGTAATTCAAATGAGATACCTGTTCCTCCTCCTCCAACCTATGTCCAAGGAGGAAATCCATGGGATGTAACAGGGAAGGGAGTGCCACCAGAAGCATCCCGTCTTCTCATTCACCCCTCCTGCTCTTGGATGAAGGGACTCCCACCCCAACCCCGGGAAACAATTGCCCCAAGCAGAGGCAATCCTACTAGTAAGGCAGTTCCTGCAAAAACAGCAGCAGCAGCAGCCAGTCACAACTTCCTAAGAAAAGAAAGGAGGAGTAGGTGGGGGAATCAGAAGACATTAGCAAGTTTCGCATGCACCCAAATACCACCGGATAAAAATGTTCTCGGGTGTTCTTAATTGATCACAGGCATCGCTAGGTTCAAGAACCGAAACTCCAGGAATACTGGCACTTTAGGAATGCTTTCCACTGTCACTGAAACGCAAGCATCCAGAAAAGGCATCCGATGGGTTCACAAAGCAGGGAGAGAGGGAAGGTGTCTGTTTTAAAGTAATGCTAGAAACGTGTGTGCTAATAATTTAGTGTAATGGTACAAAAATGAATCACGTTTTACCGACGTACACCTTAAGGACGAAGGGTTAAATTGCATTTACATAATTATACACTTTGTCTTCGACTTCTTTTTCTTCTTTTTGCCGTCTTTGCTCATCTTCTCCTTGTGTTTTCGGATTTCCCGGACTAATGTGTAGAAGGCATCGTCAACGCCCTGCAAAGAAATGTCAGACCTTTTAATACCAAATGACGCCTTTTCACTTGAATTGGCCGGGTTTTCGTTTAGTTAATGAAAATGCTATGAGCAATTTCAATAAGGCAGTTTCAATAAGGCAGTATTCTTTTTAATAGTCATGAGAAATTGAACAATGGTTGGTACTTGTGCACTTTTATCATGTTTTCTGAAGAGCTGAGAGAGGATTTATTTTATTTTATTTTTTACCGATAGTAGCCTAGGTGTGGTTCTTGCTCAAAGGACTTGCTCCTCTTTGAGGATTCAATTAGCCAATATATCCCTCTTACTCAGGACTAAGAAGTTTGAAGGATGGTTTCCAATTTTTGCAACTTTTAAGGATTTGGGACAAAATAATTTAAAAAGTTCTATGATGTATCTAAATAATGAGTGAGAACATCACTCACACAAACTGCTACGTAGCTGGGACAAAATGTGCGTAAAATGCATTTAAGAGTATTGTTTTCCCAGTTCTAACGATAAAATCATTATTTTGTATTGTTCTTGTAGTATTTTATGTGCCCTGCTATTTGTATACAGTGGTGCCTCGCAAGACGAAATTAATTCGTTCCGCAAGTCTCTTCGTCTTGCGGTTTTTTCGTCTTGCGATGCACGGTTTCCCATAGGAATGCATTGAAAATCAATTAATGCGTTCCTAGGGAAACCGCCTTCAGACCAGGTCCGGGGACAGTCTGTCCCCGGACCTCTTCTGAAGGCTGGGGGGGGGGGAAAGGGCTTTTCTTCCCACCCCCAGCATTTTAAAAAACCCCGGGACAGCAGAGGACTTCTCCGCTGTCCGGGGCGATCTTAAAATGCTGGCGGGCGGCATTTTAAAATCGCCCCGGACAGCGGAGGACTTCTCCGCTGTCCGGGGCGATTTAAAAGCCCCTGGGAAGGCAGGCAGGGGGGACAAAGACTTTCACCCCCTGCCTGCCTTCAGAAGGTGTTCCCGCCCCCCGCCCCGCTTCGGAACAGCGTTCCGAAGTGGGGCGGCTGGGGCAGGTCTTCCCGCCCCCCCTCCCCGCTTCGGAACAGCTTTCCGAAGTGGGGCGGCTGGGGCAGGTGTCCCCGCCCCCCTCCCCACTTCGGAACAGCTTTCCGAAGTGGGGCGGCTGGGGCAGTTGTTCCCGCCCCCCTCCCCGCTTCGGAACAGCTTTCCGAAGTGGGGCGGCTGGGGCAGGTGTCCCCGCCCCCCCTCCCCGCTTCGGAACAGCTTTCCGAAGTGGGGCGGCTGGGGCAGGTGTCCCCGCCCCCCCTCCCCGCTTCGGAACAGCTTTCCGAAGTGGGGCGGCTGGGGCAGGTGTCCCCGCCCCCCTCCCCTCTTCAGAACAGCTTTCCGAAGTGGGGCGGCTGGGGCAGTTGTTCCCGCCCCCCTCCCCGCTTCGGAACAGCTTTCCGAAGTGGGGCGGCTGGGGCAGGTGTCCCCGCCCCCCCTCCCCGCTTCGGAACAGCTTTCCAAAGTGCAGCGGCTGGGGCAGTTGTCCCCGCCCCCCCTCCCCGCTTCGGAACAGCTTTCCGAAGTGGGGCGGCTGGGGCAGGTGTCCCCGCCCCCCCTCCCCGCTTCGGAACAGCTTTCCGAAGTGGGGCGGCTGGGGCAGTTGTTCCCGCCCCCCTCCCCGCTTCGGAACAGCTTTCCGAAGTGGGGCGGCTGGGGCAGGTGTCCCCGCCCCCCCTCCCCGCTTCGGAACAGCGTTCCGAAGTGCAGCGGCTGGGGCAGTTGTCCCCGCCCCCCCTCCCCGCTTCGGAACAGCTTTCCGAAGTGGGGCGGCTGGGGCAGGTGTCCCCGCCCCCCTCCCCACTTCGGAACAGCTTTCCGAAGTGGGGCGGCTGGGGCAGTTGTTCCCGCCCCCCCTCCCCGCTTCGGAACAGCTTTCCGAAGTGGGGCGGCTGGGGCAGGTGTCCCCGCCCCCCCTCCCCGCCCGGGACACGGGGAGATTTTAAAATGCTGCGGGTCGGCAGCGCTTCGCTCCCGACCCCCAGCATTTTAAAACCTTCCCGGGACACGGGGAGATTTTAAAATGCTGCGGGTCGGCAGCGCTTCGCTCCCGACCCCCAGCATTTTAAAACCTTCCCGGGACACGGGGAGATTTTAAAATGCTGGGGGTCGGCAGCGAACGCTTCGCTCCCGACCCCCAGCATTTTAAAACCTCCCCGGGACAGGGGGAGATTTTAAAATGCTGGGGGTCGGCAGCGAACGCTTCGCTCCCGCCCGCCAGCATTTTAAGATCGCCCAGGGCAGGCGGGGGGAAGGCAGGCGGGGGGGCAAGACTTTTGCCCCCCGCCGGCCTTCAGAAGAGGTCCTCTTCTGAAGGCTGGCTGTGGGCGAAAGTCTTTGCTCCCGACCGCCAGCATTTCCCTATGGGCTTTCGTCTTGCAATGCAAGCCCATAGGGAAATTCGTCTTGCGAAGCGCCTCCAAAACAGAAAACCCTTTCGTCTTGCGGGTTTTCCGTCTTGCGAGGCATTCGTCTTGCGGGGTACCACTGTATATTGTTTTACACCACATAGATAGTTGATATGAATTGACAGCCTAAAAATATTTTTGTAAATAAAATAAATAGAAAGAAAACAAAATAGTTTCATCTCAAGAGTTTTGTCTTGTCTGTGTATTTTACATCAGGTTTCCCCTCTCTTATCCTAGGTAACTGATGCTCTCAACTGAAGTAATATTTCTGAAGCAAAACATTACCACTGGGTGTATATTATCGTACTATCAAAGATGGGTGCCACCGTCCTGGATTGTTTAATCCAAGATGGAGAGAGACCATTGTGTCCATAAATGTAGTTACTGGTGTGTGCCGAGATCATACTGCAGGCAGTTCAAATATCCACAAGGCAAAAATCACTGGTGAAACACTGGTCTCAGGTCTTTTATAGGCAAAAATCACTTTTTTAAAAAAATATTGAAACAAATACCGTAATCAAAGCAGCAATTCACTGCTGTTGGAAACATTACAGGAGGTCTGTATTTGAACTAAAAAGAAAGAAAGTTGTACAGCTGGAAATGACAGTGAAATGGGGTCTTTTATACCCAGAAAAATCCTACTAGTCCCATTGCACCCACATTATATTATTATTCTATTCATCCGAAAGTCATAAGTACAAAGCAAGCAAGACCAAGAACACGTCTGCAAGACAGAGAGCGTGTTAAAAATAACAGCAATGAAAGAAGCAAGCACACAAAGGAAGACTAAAGTTTTTCTTTTAAAAGGGAAACATACCTCAATTTAAGTCTCATCAGTCCATTCATTCTGCTGACATGTCAAACTGATTATGCCAGCAAGACCTCTCTATCACTCCCATGACATCATCTCATGTAAGGAAGCTCATCCTGTTCCTCGGATGTTACATTTCTGATGCTTCAACAGGGCATCATTGAAGGGCAGGAAACAATTTTTCACCGTCACATCAAATCTGCTCTCAGGCTAGCCAACCAGAAACCATCACCCAATGAAGTATCCCGCTCTGTTTGCATCAGAGAACGGGAACATGCTTACATCAAGTTTGGTTTCGTATACGTCTTCTTCCTCATAAATAGTTCTATATTAACCATCTCATCTCAGGAGATTGGCTAACTTGAGCCAACCTAGTTATACCATCTGATGGCAGCTCTGTTATATTGGACCGTCCCCGAAGTCCTCGTTTGTCACAGCCTTCAGTTTCCTTTTCATGGTCATAGCTGTCAACGTTTCCTTTTTTAAAGGGAAATTCCCTTATTCTGAAGAGGATTCCTCGCAAGAAAAGGGAAAAGTTGACAGCTATGTTCATGGTTGACCAGCGGTCCAGAACGCAAAGCGGGGTCCCGTTGCCTTCCTGTGTGAGGTTGGCAATGCTCACTTTTCCAATGTCCCAACTATGGAAGGATGTGTGGATCCAGAATTGGCCTCCACAGTCGCTTACGGACTCATTGTTAAAACCGTGTTTATGGAAGACTATCTTACTCAGCTACGAGTGATCGCCAAATACAGTGCTACCTCAGGTTAAGTACTTAATTCGTTCCGGAGGTCCGTTCTTAAGCTGAAACTGTTCTTAACCTGAAGCACCACTTTAGCTAATGAGGCCTCCTGCTGCCGCCGCGCCGCCGGAGCACGATTTCTGTTCTCATCCTGAAGCAAAGTTCTTAACCTGAAGCACTATTTCTGGGTTAGCAGAGTCTGTAACCTGAAGCATATGTAACCTGAGGTACCACTGTAATAATAATAAGAGCTCACCTTTCCAGGTAATAATCCCCCATCCAACTTATCACGTAGACAACGCCTGTCTTCCTTGCATCTTATTAGCAGTTCATGGAGCGAGACCCTATGAAAGTTTACCTTCTGAGCAACATTTGGGGGCGGGGGCACACACCCGTGGCGGGAGAGACCATAGGCAGAAGTGGGCACAGCAAGAAATGTCAATTTCCCCTTTGTACACTAGTTTATTGGGACGCGGGTTAAACCACAGAGCCTAGGACTTGCCGATCAGAAGGTCGGCGGTTCGAATCCCCGCGACGGAGTGAGCTCCCGTTGCTTGGTCCCTGCTCCTGCCAACCTAGCAGTTCGAAAGCACGTCAAAGTGCAAGTAGATAATTAGGTACCACTCTGGCGGGAAGGTAAACTGTGTTTCCATGCGCTGCTCTGGTTCGCCAGAAGCAGCTTAGTCATGCTGGCCACATGACCGGCTCCAGCTGTACGCCGGCTCCCTCGGCCAACAAAGCAAGATGAGCGCCGCAACCCTAGAGTCGGCCACGACTGGGCCTAATGGTCAGGGGTCCCTTTACCTTTACCTTACACTAGTTTCTACACACACCTCTCCTGGCAAACAAGAGCTCATAATCGAAGTTTAAGGATGCATCCTGCCAGGCAAAACCACTCAAGGTGTGAAGCAAGGCTAGCTGAAATCGAGAAATGCCCTTCTGCTGCGTTCAAGAGAGGGGCACAACCTCCCGGGAGAACACTGCATGCGTAAGTGCACTGGATTTGTTGCAGAACTAATCAGCGAATATTCCTAAGTCTGAGCAGGTAAGCATGTGTTATCTGTTTTCGAGGGACAGACGTCAAAAGTTGAGCGGTTTGTTCTTTGAACCCTGGATCGTATAAGTTGATCTTTGCCAGAATCACGGCAGACACGTGGGCTTCGGTCCACATTTCTAAAGAAAGCAGCCCGTTAACCGGGGCAACTGTGCACGGCTCAGCTTGTTCCGTTCTGCTAAGGGAAGAGAACGAGAGAAGGGCCTTTGGGGCACACAGAAATAGAAGGCATGGAGGCCGCTCACCCTGATATGGCTGAGAGCAAAATCAAGTGTTGAACATTCAAGGGCCAAGGAGTTTGCAGCCTTCTGTGAACTGTCTCCAAACAAAGTCTGTTTCTAAATTTCCTGGCCCACCAGAAAGGGGTTTCCAAAAGAGAAAGGCGCATTCTCAATGCACCGTACAAGTTCATCCACAGCTGAAACCACAGAGAAAAACCTTTATATTCTTAAAGGAAGGTGGCGACAGTAAAACAGATTGGCTGATACTTACAATCATTTTGAAATTACTGGAATCACCAAAGAGAAGTTTGCAAGTTAGATTTGATTCGTATTGGTGATCAGAATTTTCCCCCCCGCCGAACTTTTTTTCTTTTCCTCTTAAACAAGAACAAAACTTACCCTGTCACATTAAAAGGCATTTTTTAATTTTCACGCACCCAGGAGTCTTTTCTTCTGTGCTGATTTTTCTCAATCTGTACTGGCGGATCTCTCGCACCAATGTATAAAATGCATCCTCCACTCTCTGCATTGTAAAACACAACTCCTTTAAAGCCAGCTTTGGTTAACCGGGATGAAGAGGGTGGGGGCCCAGGCGTCAGAGGAAAACTGGAAATTAGCAGCTAAACACCTAAGAAAAGCAGCGTGGGAGCTGGGGGCAAGATACCTAGCTGCATGTGGGGAAAATGCTTTAGGTACAATGCCATATTCATTATTTCTGATATCAAAATATACCAGTCCTTAAGGATCTAGATCAGGGTTTCCCAAACTTGGGTCTCCAGCTGTTTTTGGACTACAGCTCCCATCATCCCTGACTAGCTAGGGATGATGGGAGTTGTAGTCCAAAAACAGCTGCAGACCCAAGTTTGGGAAACCCTGATCTAGACTAAGGGTGGCTAACCTGTGGCCTTCCAGATGTTGATGGTCTTCAACTCCCAGCAACCTCAGCAAATCTGGCCAATGGTCAAGGATGATGGGAGTCCCAACAATATCACAGGTTAGTCAGACCCTTTATTCGTCACGTTCACACCTGTTTAGATGATAACACTCGATTTCCTAAGATTTAGAGTTTCGCTTGTGTCCAGCATTCGGGGGAAATGGCAACAGAGCTTCCATTCTCAAAAACATTTTAGGAGCTGGATTTTTAAAATTTCTTCCCTTCAGGAAACCCTTTCAATGTGACGCCATCTGCCAAGGAACCCGAGTCCTTTGCCAAAGATTCTGGGCAGGGATTTGAAGAACCACTTTGAGCCCGGCGGCTAGATTCAAACTTCACCAGCCTTCTGGAGACAAAAATCCTGGTGACAGGCGAGGCCGAAAGGGGGGGGGGATACCAAATATTTTCCACATACATTTTCCACAGTTTGTAATGCTCTTTTTCCATTTGATTCCCTTGTACGGAGATTGAGGTGCATAAAATGTAAGGGAAATACATACTGCCTTTAAAGATGAACCTATGACAAGTGACATCGCATGACTGGAAGTTGGCTTAAGCTGCAGTCGCGAGTCATTTGGATGGAAGGGGTTGGTGGGCCAAATTAAGTCAAATAAGGGCAGTCACAAACAGTTAATGCAAGACACTGGCCAGGCTTGTTAGGCCTCACCCTGGCGCTGTTTTGAATGCAGTGTGTGCACCCAGGAATGAATTCAGCACTGCCCTATGGCTGCGCATTGCAGAGGGAAAGATCAGTATCAAGAATGTTCGTCTGCGGCACCAAACAGCGAGGAAATTCTGAGGCTCCCCAGAAAGCCATCTGCAAGGTTCTGAGCTAAACAGTCACATCCCCATCTTGCAATAAGAGAAAGAAGAAGAAAAGCACAGGAAATTTTCCATAAGCACAAGCGCACCCATCCGATCCAACTATTTTGATTGCCACGATTATTCGAGATGCTATTTCATTCACTTCCCGAAAGGGCCCAATACCTGGGAAGGTCTCCTCCCCAAAACCCCTGGGGCGGGAGAATGCGGGGAGGGTGGACAACAACTTCCATTGACTGTGTATCCACCCCCCGCCCAGCTCATTTCAATGGAGGTCCCTCAGGAACCATTTCAAGGCAATTGGGCCCACCGCCTCCATCCCAATCACCAGGAGCAGGAGTTGCGATTTTGTTTCAGCAATGCAGACAAGAGGAGAAAGAGATCAACACCAAAGAAGGCGAAAGATTGACTAGAGAGGAGCCCGTTTGAGGCAAAGCAGTTCACCACAAGAAGAAGAAGCAGGGCTTGGGGGAAAAGGTTTTTAAAGAGCCAGCCACACAGGGGAAGCATTTGAGTAAGTTGTTGAAACTTTGCTTGTCTCCCACAGGAAACACGGAAGTGGCCGTTTTGCTACAGGCGAGCATTGCAACATAGGAGAGGTTTTTCACACGGAAACACATAAAGGCATGCATGTGCTTCCCGACAATTTTATGGAGACTAGAAAGGGAGCACCACAAGAGGAAGGGGCTTCCTCTAGAACAGGGTTTGCTCATCGGTGGCCCCCAGGATGCTGCTGCTGCTGCTCTGCAACTCCCATCGCCATTGACAGGACTGGCTGTGCTGGTAGGAGCTGATCAGAGCTTGAGTCCAAAGAAAAAGGCTGCAACATTTGCCACTGGAACAGAGGAAAACGCTTCATGCTGAGTCAGGTCTATTGAGCTCTCAGTGTTGTCTGCACTGACTGGCAGCTGCTCTCCAGGGTTTCAGACAGAGGTCTCTCCCAGTCCTACCTGGAGATGCTGGGGATTGAACCTGGGACCAGTGATCGAAATTAGCCAGGCGCCAGGCGCATTTTGCACCTGGCTACCGGCCACTTGCGACAATGTGAAGATGCCTAGGCACCAAGATGGCACCTGACATCTCCTCCACCTGGAGGTTCATGCCTGGGGATCCTTGGATCTGGGCTATTTTCACACACTAATACCCCATCCTGTAGAATTCTATCCGTTATATTTTATCTGCACAATCGGGATGGATTTCAGGAACCAAAACGCTTTGCTGTAGCTTGTCTTCACTTACCCCACCCCACTGTTCTGCTCACAGCTGTGAAGAATATTCTTACGTTATGAATGGTCGGTGTGTCACCATTAAGAAAAAGAGTAAGTGCTCAGAGTTCTTAACCGAGCTGAAGGATGTCATCTGAACTAGCCAGATGTTTAACACAGTCAGTCCATCATATGAAAAATAAGATTTTAGAGGCGTCTTGTCCAAAAATGGCAACTAGACATTCCATTTTGGCAACTGCAATCTCGATTTAAGGAGCCATTTAGCGCCTAGATATATATCTAACACTGCCTGGGACCGTCTGCATGCTCGAACAGATTCTCCTGCACTGAGCTATATTGCTCCTCCATCTTTCCTAAAGCCATGTCCCTGCAGTCCCAGATCCAGCACAGACTCCTCTTCCCAGTTTCCTATGGCCTCATTCTGCAGCCATGTTTTTCCCTTCTCGATCTGCTCCCACATCCAGATATCACTCTGTTTGTGGCTTTTTACTCCTCCAGCTCCATCACCCTCAGCCACCCAAAACTCTCCTGCTCCCTTGAGTGACCACCTTTCTCTCTTGCTACCCCCCATCTGTGTGGAATTGCCCCCCCCAAAAAAAACCCACCTTTCCCATGCCTTTCTCTGTTACATCAAATCCCTCCTCAGCACACACAAAGAGCAATAAGCTGCAATTTTTTAAAAAAGCAACCATGCTACTGAAGAAAGAGAAAATAAATATAGGAGGAGCCATAGCTCAGGGTGATGTTACCCATCTCTGCTCTACTGGAAAACTATATTCCCGCCCACCCCACAAACAAAAAATCTACCAGATCCCTCAAAACGAACACTAGTTTTCAAAGGAAGGAAAAAAGAAATTGTCACCGTAATTTCCCATTCTCTCCACACGAGGGGGAACCACACAGTAAAGATAACCCAAGCTGCATACATAACCATATATTTAAAGCAAACTGTTTCACCCAAAGAATTCTGGGAACTGCCTCTCACAGACCCACAACTCCCAGAACTCACAACGAATTACTGTCTCTAATGGAACCCCCAGATACAGTTACAAGTTGGGGGATTTATGCCCTAAAAGTATGGGGCTAGAGGGGGTGCAGAACCTCACGGCCTGCACTTTATTGCTTAGCTACAGAAAAGCTGACAGGGGGAGTCTGTTATGTGTGTCAGAGCACATTAGATGTTTGTTATAGTTATAGTCATTTGACTAGTCATGTGCAGATGCCTGATTATCCAAAGCAGCTACTCTATTCCAAACTTAAAAATGGAAAGTGTAATGCTGGCGGTCAACAAAAGAGGTTTAAAGACTCTCTCAAGGCAAACCTAAAAAATTGTGGTATAAACACTGACAACTGGGAAAGACTGGCCTGCAAGCGCTCCAGTTGGAGAACAGCCTTTACCAAAGGTGTTATGGACTTTGAAGACCTTTGAACTCAGGACGAAAGGGAGAAATGTGCTAAGAGGAAGGCACGCTTGGCAAACCCTCACCGTGATCAACTCCTGCCCGGAAAACTATGTCCTCACTGTGGAAGGACGTGTGGATCCAGAACTGGCCTCCACAGTCACCTGCGGACTCATTGTTAAAACCGTGTTTATGGAAGACATTCTTACTTGGCTACGAGCGATCGCCAAAGAAGAAGAGACATTTGTTATTAGCCAGCTATGTAACTGAGATGGCTGGTTTGTTTTTTTAGAAGAGATTGGAAAAAATCAGGAATGGCGTTATCTGTGTGCTTATGGCAGCATTCCCAGCATATGATACGTCCTCTTAAGAGTACAGGTATTTCTAAATGCTAGAAAGAGATGATGGGTAAATGGCTAGATCCTGAGTTCTTGGAAAACAGCAGTGGAGATGGGGATACTAGGTTCCTTGGGTTTTTATTCCAACCCATAGTAATTAGCAGGGACGTGGGTGGCGCTGTGGGTTAAACCACAGAGCCTAGGACTTGCCGATCAGAAGGGGTTCAAATCCCTGTAACGGGGTGAGCTCCCATTGCTCGGTCCCTGCTCCTGCCAACCTAGCAGTTTGAAAGCACGTCAAAGTGCAAGTAGATAAATAGGTACCGCTCCAGCGGGAAGGTAAATGGCATTTCCGTGCGCTGCTCTGGTTAGCCGGAAGCGGCTTCATCATGCTGGCCAAATGACCCGGCTCCCTCGGCCAATAAAGCAAGATGAGTGCCGCAACCCCAGAGTCGTCCATGACTGGACCTAACGGTCAGGGGTCCCTTTACCTTTTTATAGTAATTAGCCTGCCCATTACCACTAAGTGTGCCACACGTTCAGGATGGGATAAAATACCTTTCAATGGGTACAGAAACTAGTTTATGGCATAGGTCCTAAGCCATATGAACAGAATCATTCACACCACACATTTAAAGGAATTTTATACCATTTTAGCAGTCGTGGCTTGCTCCAAAGCATCTGGCGAACTGTAGTCACAGGGTTACAATCCCCTGCACACTTAACAAACCACAGTTCCCAGGATTCTTTGTGGAACACAGTGCGCTTGAAATGGACAGTGGGGATGTGATCTTAGGACCACTGCAGAAAACTTTGTGGCGGCTCGTAGTTGCCCCCTGCCAACCACAGAAGGAGGGGGTGGGCACAAGGCAGGCTTCAGTGTTGGCGAGTGCCCATCAGGGCCATGGCAGGTGTCCAAGGATGCCAGGTAAATATGTTTAGTCCCAAACAGCAAAAGCAACTTCACCTATTTAGAACCAAGTCAACCAACTGTGATTTGGGGTATAATACATTGATGCAGCTCTTTAAAAAGGCCTGAAGGAAATGAATCAAGGGTGAAGTGGAAATCACAGGCTCTTAGAAGAGCAGAGCAAGTCGATTGTAATGCAGAGCAAAGTCAACGGTTTTTGTTTTTTTTAAGCAAGCAGAGATTTAAGCCCAGCAATTTCGCAACGATTGGGAAACAAAAAAACCACAAATGATGCACACAGGCTAGGTAACCATAGCCATATGAAATATATCCAGGGCTGTATTCTGCACTGCAAACAGGACTCAAAAGCTATGCGCGCAAAGGAAGGAAGCGCACAGGTCAAATTTTAGATTGTAAGCTCCTTGAGGCAGTGACCTGTGCTCTTGTTTTCTGAAGACAGTCATATGCACATCCATAGCACTATAATTTGCTTTCAAAGTATACTCTATGAGTTTTATTTACCAAAGCCCAGGAGAAAGAAGGCAACCCAAAGATGTCCCTTTGGGCCTCTTCCGATTCTGCAATTACCGTATTTTTCGCTCTATAAGATGCACCAGACCATAAGACGCACCTAGTTTTTGGAGGAGGAAAACAAGAAAAAAAATATTCTGAATTTCAGAAGCCAGAACAGCAAGAGGGATCGCTGCGCAGCAAAAGCAGAGATCCCTCTTCCTGTTCTGGCTTCTGGGATAGCTGCGCAGCCTGCATTCGCTCCATAAGACGCACACACATTTCCCCTTGCCTTTTAGGAGGGAAAAAGTGAGTCTTATAGAGCAAAAAATACGGTATTTGATGCTAAGAGGAGAAGGCAAGAAGTAAAGAAGGGGCTTCCTCAGCTGGAGCCTCCTGCGTTCTCCTGTGCAAGTGGGGCTCCTGGGCAAAGGGAAGATGCCCTCAACCATCCCACGGCAACATCCTTCATCTTTCCCCACTAAAGGAAGGAGGATAACACTTGGGAGGCAGGAGAATTGTCTGCACACATCTGGCAGAAGTCAGAGCAGATACTGCTATCCTTCTCTCCTCCCTCCCCTGCTTTTTACAGGTGTTTTCTCTCGCAAGCAGCAGCATCTAAAGTGACACACTGCATGCCAAGCTGGAACCAGGTGGATGCAGAGGGAAGGAGGGACTTGCTATGTGAAGAAATCCAGCCAGGTTCTTCTCTGGATCATGAGCATGCAGCTGCGTGAATCATAGAAGCCCCTGTTCCGTTCAGTAAAAACACCGCCCGGGGGTTTCCTTCTCAAGCCGTTTCCTAAAAAACCATGAGGCCTAGATGCTGCCTGTTCTCGCGCTTCCAGTTCTTGCAGGGCGAATTTTGCATTTTGTGCAGTGTGTACTCACAGCCTTGGACACATTCCAAACATACAGTGGATTTCTGAACATTTATTTTCGGTGAAAAGGAATACAGGGGGAAACGGATTTCTGCGTTAAGGTCAGGCAATTACTGAGTTGAGAGGATGTGAAAGCCATTTAAAAATGGATGCAAAGCAGCGTTTGCTACTATTCTCTAGTCCTTATTTTGATTTTTACCTTCAATACCTTATGAACATTAAGAGATCCCACACAGGCAGTTTGCGATTCCAGTATTACTCAGCATGTTCTTATGCGTGTTCAGGGAAACTGTTAATCGGGGCACTTACTGTCCCCCGACAATCCACGGTCTGTGCAGCTGGAGAGAAACGTTCAGATAACTCTTGCCGTTATGAAAACGACTAAAAATAACTCAGACAAGGCTTCAGCTGCAACATCCTGCCACTTAGAATGCACCAGATGTTCTTACGAATTCACGCCAGACAAATCATTTCAGCATCTTAAAGGGATTGTAAGGGTTGCAGAGTCAGACCTCTGAACCCAATGCCTTTCCGAATTTGAAGACAAGGCTACCAGGGAAGTGCTGCTCTGGGACTTATTTAGCGCAATAAAAGAAGGATATATGCTTGGAGAAGTCAAACTGCATGCTTGTATATGGATTGTTGTCCTGGATTCTGTTCTTGGCCTCGGCATTCGGGTGATGTGAGTCTGAGGTGGTAAAATCCAGACACAGAGGCATCATCACGTCTATTTCCCATAAGGAATTTGTGGAAAGTTCACCACCACCATCCAGTGTAACCTCCAGGGTGGTTTTTTTCTTTATTTTTTTAAAAAAGGGGAAGCTACATAGAACGCACACAGATTTTGAAGTTTTAATTTTAAAGCAGCAGCACACCACTTTAGCCAATCATGGATTCCCCCAGAGACTCTTGAACACTGTAGTTTTCACCTGGCAGAGCTACAGTTCCTTGCACCAGAAACAAACTAGTTTCCCAGGATTCTCTGGGGGAATCCACGACTGGCTAAAGTGGTGCGATACTGCTTTAGGCATAGGCTGCAGGTGGGACCTCAGATATACAAACTGGCTCTTGAGAGTCAAATAAAATGGAACGTGACTCTGCCTGCTTTCTTGAATCTCGGCTATCCTGGGGAGAAAACATATTGAGAGAGAGAGAGATGCAGGATCTCCCAGGAACATGGACCTGCAGGTACTAGGAATCCTACTCTTTATTCGAACAGAAAACTCTGTTCTCAACCTCAACCGGGGACGGTTGTTCTTACACACAAGACAACACACACACACACACAATGTTACCTGTCTCGTTTTCGCAGAGGTTTCGATGAAAGGAATTCCGTAACTTCTAGCTAAGTCCTGAGCTTGTTTTGTGTCTACGGTTCTCGAAGGCAAATCACATTTGTTTCCTACTAGCACCATGGGGACATCTTCAGAATCTTTCACTCTTTTTATTTGTTCCCTGTGGGGGGGCGGGTGGGGGAATAAGAGAAGAGCGAGAGACCACTTTAGAGCAAAGTAATATTTGAGGTGTTGGCACGGTTACTTCTTTGAAGAGATTTTAAAAAGAAAAAGAAGCAAGTTGTTTAAATCCATCTGTTTTGTTTACTACCAAGGTTTTTTCATCTGCATTCAGCCCATCTCCAGGGCTCACTGATTTATTTTATTTTATTTTTACACTGCTAACTCACATACAAAATCATCTACAAAGGGGTATTACATACAGCAAATATAAAATGTCAAGTTTACATGAGAAAATATATCAAGTGCAGAAAATGTCATAAGTAAGTGCCCCGTCACAACATTCATCCAAGGGCAAAGGCCCGTTGCCTGAAGAAAGGCTTCAAAAAATGCCAAAAAATATAAAAGGATGCTTGGTGGGTTTCCATCGGCAGGACGTTCCATGTTGCTGGACTGTCCACACCAAATGCTGTATTTCTCATAGCTACCAAGCAGCCTTATTTACACAGGGGACAGTAAACAGCATTCGCCCAACAGAACTTGGTGATTGAGCAGAGATTGTAGTATTGTAGATAGAGCTGGAAGGGACCCCGAGGGTCATTTAGTGTGATTATTATTTATTTATTGAATTTCTATACTTCAAATAAAGATAAAAGTCTTTAAGTGTCCTTAGAGCAGCCATTTTCAACCTGTGGGTCCCCAGATGTTGTTGGACTACAACTCCCATCACCCCTAGCTAGCAAGGCCAGAGCTCAGGGATGGTGGGAGTTGTAGTCCAACAACGTCTGGGGACCCACAGGTTGAGAACCGCTGCCTTAGAGCCTATTATTTACGATGTGTTTAGAAGTTTCAGGTGTTTCAACAATCATACAGTGAAGGCACAAAGAAAGGGACTAGGTAGACTGATTGAGGCAGACACAAGCTCAGTTCAGATTTGTGTGTAGAAGCTCAGGATGTTAACTGGACTGGAGGTGGTTGAGAGGCAAATTTATTGAATTTCTATACCGACTATACTGGACAGTTCACAGAATAAAATAAAAATATAAAACCACAACGTACATAATCAAAATAAGAACAACCACCACCACCCAATAAACACCCCCGCCCCACACACAAACACCTCACATTTTAAAAGGGCCTAAGAGCAAGAATGGGACGCAGGTGGCACTGGGGGTTAAACCACAGAGCTTAGGACTTGCTGATCAGAAGGTCGGCGGTTTGAATCCCCGTGACGGGGTGAGCTCCTGTTGCTCGGTCCCAGCTCCTGCCAACCTAGCAGTTCAAAAGCACGTCAAAGTGCAAGTAGATAAATAGGTACCACTCTGGCAGGAAGGTAAACGGCGTTTCCGTGCACTGCTCTGGTTCACCAGAAGCGCCTTAGTCATGCTGGCCACATGACCCGGAAGCTGTACGCCAGCTCCCTCGGCCAATAAAGCGAGATGAGCGCCACAACCCCAGAGTCGTCCGTGACTGGACCTAATGGTCAGGGGTCCCTTTACCTTTACTAAGAGCAAGAAGGGAAGGCATGCAGTGGTGCGATGCGCCTCAGTGGTGGAGAACATGGTTTCCTGCTTTCAGGGAGCAATGCCAGTCTTACAGCATGTGTAGAGAGCAAAGCACACAAATTGGGAAGGGCTCTCTTGTTCCTGTGGGGAAGCCACGTCACAAGCCCGACAAATGTGGACTTGTGGCCCAAACTTTCATTTCGCAACGCTTGATGGTAATAAAATCTCTAGGCGGTTGTTGACAATGTATTTGTTCATCTATCGTCACATTTACAGGCCGCCCTTCTTGCAAAGCGTCCAAGGCAAGCGCGCATGGCTCTCCCCCTCCCCGTTTCGTTCTCACGACGACCCTCTGGCGCGGGCTCCGCCGAGAGACTGCGACTGACCCAGGGGAGAACTGAGCACCTGGATGATGACCTGGGGGAGGGGGTGAGTTACACAACCACAGCTGCATTCTCACGATCAGTCCGTGTGGCTTCTCACAGCGCTACACAGATCCTGAAATCAGTGAGTTCTGGAGCCAGGATTAAAAATAACTCAAAAATGGGCTGCTTTCAAACTGAGCAGTTTTAAAGAGGGCGTTTGCTGCAATCACATGGCAAGTCTTTATAGGCTTTCGTTTGACGCAAATCGCAACAGAGTCCCATTTCTAGTCAACACCCTCCTAATTAGCATGCATTTAAGGCAGCTGAAGGGGGGGTGGACCAGAGAGCATTTGCTTAGAGCCAATGTACATATTATGCAGAACAAGGGGGGGGGATCAAAAGAAACACACACACACACACACACACTGCCTTACACGGAGCCAGACCTTTGGGTCCATCCAGTTCAGTACTGTTTGCACTGACTGGCAGCGGCTCTCCGGGTTTTTCCTGCATGCACGAAGCTATTGCACCAGTATGCATCGCTCTGTCGCCAGTGCGCTTGTTTACTACTTGCGGGGAGATCCTTATGTGGGAGACCCTGCAGAGATTCAGCACTGGAACATTTCGGGTAGAGGGTGTCGTGCTCTCACACGCTCACCTCACTGTAGGAGGGCAAATCTCCAGAGTGTGGGGTCAGGTGGGATTACTATGAGGAATTATAAAATATGCATCAAGCCATTGTGTCCACGATGAATGCATTGTGTTGACTGGGTTTGATACACTGACAATCATTTCTGACCAGATCTCACAACCCTCTGCATCTCTGGCCATTTCCTCTACTGCCCATTTCTCTTGCTTGACAAGTCACGTACACAGCCCAGTTGCTTTGCCAGGCAGGCATCCTGGGCCATAAAGAGAGTGGGCAAGTTTCTTTGATGTAGCTTTTCTGATATGTTAATCTTAGGGTGTTAATCTTAGGGCCAGGAAACAGATCTCACCTGAAGGTGATAATGATCGCTGTCTTCCTGGCCATCCTTCCTATCACGTGTACTGCTTGTGTATGACCTCAGGGGTTGCCAAATGCATTCCTTTGTAGTTCTGTTTTGTTTACCCCAGAAATATGTGTGCTTAATTAGTTTTGATAGTTTAACTTTGTCCCCACCGTGGGGTTTGTTGAAATGCTCAGAAGAAATCTGATTGGTTCTTACGAACACTCTGTAAAATTTCTTTTGTGAATAAAACGACCTGGGCTGAGGGCTGGAGGCACGCAGAGATTATTATACGAACCCTTCCCAGAGTCTTGCTGGTTCAAGCCTCTTTGTGTATTCTTATTAATCAGAGCCCAATCCTTCCTTTACTTTGAGAACGCCTCACCTCACTCTGCATAATGCGCAAGAAAGGCTTGGAAAGTTGAGGGACTCCGGAGTGTAAAACAAGCAGAACGAGCACCGCTTCTACGTATTTTAAATCAGAACAGATGTCAAAGCCACGTTTGTTTATTTCATTTATGTCCCCCATCTCTTTTCTCCCCAGATGCTCAAGATGGTGGACGTGGTTGTCCCATCCCCCTCCCCTCCATTTTATGCTCGCTACAACCCTGTGAGGTAGACTAGGCTGAGAGGCAGCGACTGGCCCAAGGTCACCCACCGAGCTTCAAGGCTGAGGGAGGATTTGAACCCAGCTCTCCCAGGCTCCTGGTCCAGCACTCTAGATTTTACTTGCAGGGAGGTTTCGGTTTGTTTGTTTTAAAGTGTGTGTGGGGGGGCATTTCTCCCAGCTACAGCCCGAAGCAAGATAATCTGCCCTACCTGCTCAGGGTGATACCTTCTGCAACGTGAGCAGAGGGTGTGCGGTTCCCCACAACCCAGGAGAGTGTCCTGAATTCAGATCTAGGGCATGGGTAGGCAAACTAAAGCACGGGGGGCCAGATCCAGCCCAATCGCCTTCTCAATCCAGCCCGCGGAAGGTGCGGGAATGAGCGTGTTTTTACATGAGTAGAATGTGTGCTTTTATTTAAAATGCACCTCTGGGTTATTTGTGGGGCAAAGCAATTCATTTATTTTTTCAAAATATAGTCCGGCCCCCCGCAAGGTCTGAGGGACAGTGGACCGGCCCCCTGCTGAAAAAGTTTGCTGATCCCTGGCAAGGAGCAATGAAAACACGGTGTTGTGAGCGTCTTACACGTTCATTTATTGCAGCAACGTATAGAGGGTTTAACACCGCAGCTCTAAGCAGTGCACAATAAGGCAGGGGGAAGATAGGACAGAGATAAAAACCAGCTCAGCCATGAAATGAAAGAGAAAATAACTTAAAATGCTTGCTGGAATTCTGCTTCCATTTTGTTTCTGGGCACAATTCAACCGCTGAAGCCCTAAAAGCAGATTTGACCTAAACCAGGATTACATGAGCAGAATGTGTCCTTGTACAGTGGTACCTCGCAAGACGAATGCCTCGCAAGACAAAAAACTCGCTAGACGAAAGGGTTTTTTGTTTTTTGAGCTGCTTCGCAAGACAGTTTTCCCTATGGGCTTGCTTCACAAGACGGAAACGTCTTGCAAGTTTGTTTCCTTTTTCTTAACACCGTTAATACAGTTGCGACTTGACTTCGAGGAGCAACTCATAGAACGCGGTGTGGTAGCCTTTTTTGAGGTTTTTGAAGACTTTGGTGATTTTTGAAGCTTTTCCAAAACTTTCCCGACACCATGCTTCGCAAGACGAAAAAAATCGCAAGACAACAAAACTCGCAGAATGAATTAATTTCGTCTTGCGAGGCACCACTGTATTTAAAATGCACCTCTGGGTTATTTGTGGGGCCTGCCTGGTGTTTTCACACGAGTAGAATGTGTGCTTTTATTTAAAATGCATCTCTGGGTTATTTATGGGGCATAGGAATTCGTTCATTATTATTTTTTTCCAAAATATAGTCCGCCCCACCCCACAAGGACTGAGGGACAGTGGACCAGCCCCCTGCTGGAAAAGTCTGCTGACCCCTGGGTCTAGGGGAACCTGAGTTAGGTGGCCTTGCAAACAGCCATCTGCAAAGCCCATCAATGGGATGCTGGGAACTGCAACCCGAGCGAAGCTTACCTATAATGATGAATATCTTCGAAAGACTTTGTGTTATTTATAGCAAATACGCATAAAAAGCCTTCGCCCGTCCTCATGTACTGGTCCCTCATGGCACTGTACTCCTCTTGGCCGGCTGTGTCTAGAATGTCCAAGAGGCAGGTCTCGCCATCTATGACAACTTGCTTCCTGTACGAATCCTGAGAGAGGCGGGAAGAAAAGAGGGGAGGCAGAAAACGCTTTGTGATTATTCACGTACACCTAACTTAGGCGGCACCAATGCTACAGAGCTGGAAGCATCCTTCGCACCCGAGACATCGAGCCTGGAGGGCAAGCAGAAAACGAGCAGCGCTTAGTGTGGTTGGGGGTGGTACTGCAGCTCCCGGTCTGGCCAGAATCAGGTGATGTGATGAGCCTATAAGGTTTTCCCCCGCCGTGTCCCGCTGCACATTAGCCTGGTTTGCACATCACTATAAAGGGAAACCTTTTACCACCTATATTCCCTTCTGAGCAACCTTCAGGGGATGCGCAGCAATGGAGGAAGGTGGGGGAAGGAAGTCAAGTTTTGAAATGTTAAAATGGCTGCAAAATCATTGAAATGTATAAGCCTGAAAATTATAAATTAAATTAAATAGTGAGTAGAGCAATAAACTTGAGTTTCAGCTTTGTATAGTAGGCTGGCTTCTACAGACACTTATATTTTTATGTATACCGCCCTTCCTTCGTAGATCTCGGGGCGGCTCACAGCATAGTATTGCAACACAAAAAAACAACAAAATGTGTTATAAAAATAAGAACAAAGACAAAAACATCATTATTTATCATTTATTAAATTTTAACACCAGCCTATACTCGCAGGTCTCCCGCAACACATTAAAAAGGGCATTGGGTGTCAATCAACCTAAGGCCTGGGTTGAAGAGGAAAGTGTTTGCCTGCCACCTAAATGACATACAGTGAAGGTGCCAGGTGAGTCTCCCTGGGGAGAGCACTCCACAAACGGGGGGCCACCACAGAAAAGGCCTGTTCTCATGTTGCCAACCTCTGGACCTCACGTGGAGGAGACACACAAAGAAGGGCCTCAGAGGTTGATTTCAGGTCCAGGTAGGTTTGTGGGACGCGGGTGGCGCTGTGGGTTAAAGCCTCAGCGCCTAGGACTTGCCGATCAAAAGGTCGGCGGTTCAAATCCCCGCGGCGGGGTGCGCTCCCGTCGTTCGGTCCCAGCACCTGCCAACCTAGCAGTTCGAAAGCACCCCCGGGTGCAAGTAGATAAATAGGGACCGCTTACCAGCGGGAAGGTAAACGGCGTTCCGTGTGCTGCGCTGGCTCGCCAGATGCAGCTTGTCACGCTGGCCACGTGACCCGGAAGTGTCTGCGGACAGCGCTGGCTCCCGGCCTATAGAGTGAGATGGGCGCACAACCCTAGAGTCTGGCAAGACTGGCCCGTACGGGCAGGGGTACCTTTACCTTTAGGTTTGTATAGGGAAAGGCAGTCCTGGAGGTATTGCACTCGTGGGCCATTTAAGGCTTTATGGGCCAAAACCAGAACTTTGAATTGGACCCAGAAACTAAATGGCAGCCAGTGCAGTCGGTCCAAGATTGGTGTAATTATGCTCAAACCATCTTGCACTTATGCAAACCATTCTGCACTTATACACACCCCTCTCTGTGATCGGTCCAGGCAAGAAAAAGATGCAGTCGGAGTTCAAGGGCAGATTCCAGCTAGGCAAAGGCATTTTTTGAATTTTTGAATTTCGAATTTATTGTTATTCACGTTATATACTGTATTTTATGCTGTTTTTTGTTGCATCAATTAAGTGTTTTAAATTTGTTCTTAGCTGCCCCGAGCCCGGTTTTCTGAACCGGGAAGGGCGGGGTATAAATAAAAAAATAATAATATTATTTATTATTAAAGGAGGGCATGAAAGAGGACTAGTGTGAGATGGGGCTATGGGAAGGATGAGTCCCGCATTCAGCTCCGGAGCCTCGAGGGACCTGATCCTTGGGCTTAACAGGATCATGCAAACACGTATAGCTTCTGGAGAGGGTATCACAAGCTGCTTGCTCCTAACCAATACTTTTTGACTGCCACACTTTGTGGAGATAAACCAAGGTTTAGCAGGGCTCCTGTGGATGTGCTGGGATGGTGAAGGGATTATGGCTGACCAGAACCAAGCCACCCCCCTTTGATAGTCCTTGTCATATGGAGTAAAATAAAATGGAACAGTACAAATCCGATGTATGGCTGATTTTTCTATGAATTTATAACAGAAGTGTGGTGTATGTAGTGTGTGAGTGTGAGTGTGTGTGTGTGTTAAGTTTGTACAAACTGAATGATTGGGGTGGGGGGGGTTCCTGCTACAAGCATGCTGTGCAAACTTGGGCACAGCTCATGACTGGTGAGGAGATAGCTGAACCACAAGCCCAAGTTCGGACCGCATGCCAAGGGCAGCGTGGGAGTGAAAAAAGAGAAGCAAAACAACAGCTAATTCTCCTCCAGGAGCCTGCAAGTCCTGGTAAACCATGGTTTGGTTTACTGGGGCGTGCAAACCAGACCAATGCTTTTCTCACAATTGGGGCAGGGGGAATCAGTCCTGCACAAATAGCTAATTTGGCCTCAGTTACAGATCCGTATTTTAAGCGACCCTAACCCCTTGCTAGGGACGCGGGCGGCGCTGTAGGTTAAACCACAGAGCCTAGGACTTGCCGATCAGAAGGTCAGCGGTTTGAATCCCTGGGACAGGGTGAGCTCCCGTTGCTCGGTCCCTGCTCCTGCCAACCTAGTAGTTCGAAAGCATGTCAAAGTGCAAGTAGATAAATGGCAGGAAGGTAAACGGCGTTTCCGTGCGCTGCTCTGGTTCGCCAGAAGCGGCTGAGGCATGCTGGCCACATGACCCGGAAGCTGCACGCCGGCTCCCTTGGCCAATAAAGCGAGATGAGTGCCGCAACTCCAGAGTCGGTCACGACTGGACCTAATGGTCAGGGGTCCCTTTACCTTTTAACCCCTTACTACTTTTAGATATTCCAGATTACGTTTCCCACCATTCCGTTCTGCATTTGCCTGCACCTTATCTAACCTCTCCTAGTACTTTTGCAGAGCTGGCTAGCCAGCAAACTCACTCTCAGCTATGCCGTGTTATTTCTTTTGCGAATCTGTATCTTTAAAAAATACCGTATTTTTCGCACCATAGGACGCACTTTTTCCCTCCTAAAAAGCAAGGGAAAATGTGTGTGCGTCCTATGGAGCGAATGCAGGCTTTCGCTGAAGCCTGGAGAGTGAGAGGGGTCGGTGCGCACCGACCCCTCTCGCTCTCCAGGCTTCAGGAAGCTATCCGCTAGCCGTGGGAGACCCAGCTCTCCCACGGCTAGCGGAGCGCTGCATTAATCCCGAAGCTTGGGGCGTGCGGAGCTCAGCGCGCCCCAAGCTTCGGGATTAGTGCTATCCGCAGCCTGCTTCCCGGAGCGTCGGGCGCCCTGAAAGCAGAGCGCCCGGTGCTTCGGGAACACATCCGCAGCATGGGGAGCCTTGCAGGAGTTCCCCGCAGGGCTCCCCACGCTGCAGATAGCAGCCTGCCGCCTGGCGCGAGGGGCGCCCTGAAGCAGAGCGCCCCTCGCGCCGGGCAGACATCCGCAGCGTGCAGAGCCTTGCAGGAGATCCCCGCAGGGCTCCCCACGCTGCAGATAGCAGCCTGACGCCCGGCGGGTGGGGCGCCCTGAAGCAGAGCGCCCCTCGCGCCAGGCATACATCAGCCAGCCCCACAAGCTCGGGGGACAGCAGGGAGGCGCAGCGCCACTATCCCGCTGTTCCTCGACCTGGTTCGGTTTCCCTGACCTGCTTTTGGGGGGGAAATAAAGGGAAATTTTTTTCCCTTTATTTCCCCCCCAAAAAACTAGGTGCGTCCTATGGTCCGGTGCGTCCAATCGTGCGAAAAATACGGTAATAATAAACACACACACAAAAAGTCCTTGTCCCTCTGCAGCAGCGCTGATCCCATCAGCAAGGCACACGACCTTCCTCCGCACGCTTTAACTTTCCAGAAAAAAATGTGTTTGGACGAAGTAGCGTCCTGACATTCCAGCCACCTCTCTTCCCACGGTTGCAACAAGAGCTTGGGTGAGAAGCAGGTTTTATTTTTATTTTATCTTGCTTTCTCCGTGCTGAATGCAATCTTGATTACGTAACCAGAACAGAGGGGCAATTATATAAAAGTTACGGAGCAAAGCGGATCAGAGCGGCGGGTGCCAAGATCTCAGAGTCCTTTCACCCATGGCACACCTACAAGAATTCCTTGCGCATTTCACGGGTATGACGTGACCGGTCTCGTTTTTTTCAGAGCGTTTCCACTGCAGGCAGAAGGAGCGGAGAAAGGGAAACAGTGCCGGGGCGAGAGCTCCTGGGAGGACGTCTCAAGGAAATAAAAACACACAGCTGGCCTCGTTCTGAGCTGAAGGAGCATAAGCGCCAAGAAAGAGCAGGGCTGGATCAGACCAAAGACCCATCTAGTTTTAGCATTCCGTTTCCAGCAGCTGCAAGGCAGGTACAATTTAATAATAATAATAATAATAATAATAATAATAATAATTTATACCCCGCCCATCTGGCTGAGTTTCCCCAGACACTCTGGGCAGCTCCCAATCGAGTGTTAAAAACAATACAGCACTAAATATTAAAAACTTCCCTGAACAGGGCTGCCTTCAGATGTCTTTGAAAGATAAGATAGCTGCGTATTTCCTTCACATCTGAAGGGAGGGTGTTCCACAGGGCGGGTGCCACCACTGAGAAGGCCCTCTGTCTGGTTCCCTGTAACCTCACTTCTTGCAATGAAGGAACCGCCAGAAGGCCCTCAGCGCTGGATCTCAGTGTCCGGGCTGAACAATGGGGGTGGAGACGCTCCTTCAGATATACTGGACTGAGGCCGTTTAGGGCTTTAAAGGTCAGCACCAACACTTTGAATTGTGCTTGGAAATGTACTGGGAGCCAATGCAGATCTCTCAGGACCGGTGTTATATGGTCTCTGCAGCCACTACCAGTCACCAGTCTAGCTGCCGCATTCTGGATTAGTTGTAGTTTCCAGGTCACCTTCAAAGGTAGCCCCATGTAGAGCGCATTGCAGTAGTCGAAGCAGGAGATAACTAGAGCATGCACCACTCTGGTTATCTTACATTCCATGGTAAGCAGCCACAGACAGAAGCAGCATAGCT